AAAGTATTCTGTTTATTTAGCAGCAGGTATAATAGTGTATGAGGTGTAGTACAATCAGAATTATACAACCAGTATTTCTAGGAGTTACTACACATAATATTTGGATGTTCCGATATTAACTTTTTGCTGATATTGTCCAAACATTTAATTTTGGATTCCGATATCAGCCATACTGATACAGCGGGGCAGTGGTGGCCTGGTGGTTAAGGAAGTGAAAGCTAAAAGCTATCTCTTCAGTAAGGCTGTAGGATAATATGGATGTAGTTAATTTATGATGAAAATATACATAAAGGACAACGACAACAAAGTCCTGCGTGAAACAGTAGCAGATACAGTGTAAAGGACAACGACAACAAAGTCGAGTTCCTGCGTGAAACAGTAGCAGATACAGTACCAGGGTGGAGGTGAGGTTGTTCGTACATGGTCCAGATGTGGGCTCCTGGATTTTAGAAAGCACAAACTGCTGATCTTTCTCCACCTAGCTCCCCTGCTGGCATCATGTAAGAACAACATCTTCAGCTCTTTTCGGCTCAATTATTTTAAATCACCACGTCCTGATTTACAGGTTGGAGAATGTGTACGAGCAGAGCACAGGGCCTTATATAAGGTATGGAGGAGTAGATGGAAAAAGACATCTGGTTAGACTCCGGCCCTACTGTACTGCTGTCTTCGTGATGAAATAGTACCTGGCGAGTTCTTGGCTCCCTCTCACCTCTACCGTTAAGTAGCGCAGCACTTCTAGGAATTGTACGTGAAACGTGTGATTTGAAAAATGGGCTGCTGGAGTGTCCGCTCTAATGTTTAACACATGAAGACCTGTGGAAACATGAGTTGGCAACTTTGCTGAGGAGAGCAGCCCATATGTGATGTACTGTGTACAGCAAATACTCAGCATGTGTCCTGCTGCACGTACTGTACCACAGGGACAGGCTATTAGTTCCACTCCAGACAAGAGAATCAATTCAAGATTAAATGTTCTGGAGACTTGAGGCTCTATTTCTCTGTTGAAGTATTTTATGGTTTTTCTTTGTTTGTTTTTGAGAACGCTGTGAAGAAGACGTCTGTTTCACAGTATTTTATGTGTGTTGTTTATTAACGTGTTTCGCACAAACACTGGCTCTTCATATATTAAGTTCTGCCTTGAATGATGTGTTGAAGTTCCAGAATAATCCTGGCAAAAATTTCCAGAAGAAATAGCAAATTTATTTTGGAAAGAACAATCTTTAGAAAATACTTCAAGCTTGCAGATCATGGTCCTGTTTAGCTAGGGCATCGATGCGATATATTGCGATATATTGCGGTACCACAGGCACAATTTAATTGTAGTAAAACTGTCAGTATAGTGGCAAGAGTTGGCGATACGTTACGTGTCAGGATACAGGGGCAACAATACGATATATATTGCCATATATTACCATAGTATTAGTAGTATTGATAAGGTATCGTGAAATAAAATATCGCAATATTTCAATGTATCTATATTTAAATTAAAATATCGCGATATTTCAATGTATCGATATTTTCTTACACCTCTATAAACCAGGGAGTTTGTTCGTTTACATGCCAGTGTTTTCCTGGGCAGTTGTGACTTGCGTTTTATTCACTCCTCTGTCTTTTGTGCAGGTGCGAGGAGACGGCATCAAACCACCCTGATCCGTCCACTAAATCTGTCCCTGTCGAAGTACCCAAGACCCCGAGGACCAACACCTCTAGGGTCCAAGTGCACGGTCAGAAGCGCAGAGCTCCCCTGTCCAACCAGCAGCTGCTGGATGAGCTCTTCTCCGCTCAGCCTCAGAAAAAAATGAAGAACACCGAAGCCAAGCCCTGGCAGCCCCTCCTCTGCAGCGTGGCTGCCCTTCGGCTGCGGCTTCAGCGCCTCTCGTCCCAGAGCGGCGCAGAGCCGGGGGGCCTCCGTCTTGTAAATCCACTGGCCTCTCAGAACGCCTGGGTCATTTTATGTGGTCAGAGGCTCATGTTGTTAAACCCGTTCCGAGTGGAGGAAGCCTTGCTGTTTAAGAGACTTCTGGAGAATAATATACTTCCAGCTGAGCGTCTGCAAAACCCTATAGAGTTAACAGATGGGTAAGGTATCACTCGGCGCACTGCCGTGGTTATTGTCCTTTTGGGGAATGGCACAGCCGTCTTTTCATACTCTGTACTGCATATGTTGTACAGGACCCTGGTACAACCAAGTACCAGGGTCCAAAATAATCAGATATCAGCAAAAAGTTAATATTGGACTTCCCTCATCCATCTGTAATTTTTTTCCAGACTTCTTGGAGGAGCTGAATTTACTGAGGCTTTGTGCGACATGAAGAAACAAAGTCCCGACTTAAACGGACACGTGCTGTTCTCCGATCCCAGGCTTGTTGCCAATGGCTTTCAGATCAGAATGACTGCAGGTATTTACAAACGTGGACCACAACGCAAGATGTACACATTTACTGGCCCGCCTACTTTCTTTATTTTGAAGGATTTAAGAGGTCATGACCCCAGACCTTCCGAAAAGACTTGTTGTTTTAATTAGTTTGATTGGGAGGAAGAATAAGAAAACCTGGCTCAATGATTGGCCAGGACACAAAACTGAAATAAATCCCCTTCTCAGCCAAAAAGTTTCATTTAATAACCCCAAATGTCACTTCCTCTCCTTGGTTCACTGGTTAGCCTGTTAGCATTCCCATATTGTTAGCACCAGGGCTTTGTATGTTCAGAGCTTTTATGACCAAAAAGCTGAAGCTCGTCCCCAACAACAGTAGATTTCCCAGTCCTCCCGGGTCATTTGGGGACATTTTAGAAGAAAAAAAATAAAAACACAAATTCAAAAACTCTGCCACAGGTGACGCTGCCTCCTGGTGGCAGAAAAACAAGCCCTGCCGCCCTGTGGGGTAAGGGGCCGTTGGCAGCCATGTGGTTCAGTCCTCGGTCAACAAAGGTTTTCTGCTGAGTCATGATGTGGAGAATCTGGTTCTTTACATAGATTAGATAATCTGTGAAGTAAACGTCTACAGCTGCCGTAAACTGTCCGCCATATAAACAAGTACATGTTCAGTACTTTGATGGAGAGCAGGGGGGGGGGGGGGGGGTGATTATGGTTCAAGAACCAGAGGCAGCAGCAGCAGCATGATCAACACGAACACAGAGGAACAAGGAGTTCTGAGGTGTTCTGTTTAAAGGTCCAGTGGGTTTTTAAATGTCGGAGCCTTTTGTTGAAGTTAAAGTCACAGTTCGTGGACAAAATGTCAAACGGCCGTGACCTGGTTATGGATTATGCACCGCTGTCAGGATTCTGTTTGTGGGATTATCTGAGAACTGAAGTGTCAGATATCTGTTTCACTGATGCTCTGAATCTGTTCAGTCACAAACATGAACACCTGGGCTACACTCCAGTCTGAGTCTGGTCTCTAGACCCCTCAGGCTGGGACAGACGTTGATGGTGATGCGATATGTATCACGATACAGGGGCAACGATACAATATATATAGCAGTACTATAGGTTGCGACGATATATTGATTTTTTTTTTTTTACAATTTAATTGTAGTAAAATGTCACCAAAGTAGCAAAAATCTGGTGATACGATACGTATCGTGATACAGGGGCAACAATACGATATGTTGTGATATACTGCGCTACTGTAGGTACTTAAATAATAAATCAATACAGTGATGGAGAATATCAATACGGTATTTTTTTTTTTTTTACTCGGTTCCTAGTCCGGCTCTGTACCTGTGACTGTTGGCTGTTTTTGTTGCTGTAAAAGTTCACCTCAGTTGATGCTGGCCTGCTGCCCAATGGCACGGTCTCAGGAGGTGCCCTGGTGTGCAGGTGATGAGAATGGTTGGCCTTTTAAACAATTCAAGGAATTTTCATTAACAATGGCAGTCTCTGTGGGTGTGCATGGGATTGAGGAGAACACTGCGTGTCAGGTTGTTTTATTGCACAACCTCTGCTCTTATTTATGCTGGATTTGTTAATTAGGTCACTGTTTGTGTGCATTAGAGAGGAAATATAGATACACTGAAATATCACAATATTTCATTTTATTATACAGTGTATTGATTTTTTTTCTCACCAATTCCCAGTCCAATATTCCTGGTGTTGGTTCATTTTCCTTTTCTTTTCTTTCTTCTCTAGTGATTCCAAATGTAGATCCCTCTGTTCCAGTGTTAGGAACTGATGTTCAAATGGAACAGAGTCTGAGACTAGGATCATAATTTGACTACAGTTACAAAAAAACTCAATATATCGTCTTGCGTATAGTATCGCAGTATCGTCATACATGCCACATCGCCAGATGATTGCCAATACACAGCCCTGGTAATGAGTCAGTATTTGTACTTGTATCTAAATCCATGTTCACGTGGAAAAAAAAAAAACATCTCCCAGAATATCTAGGAAAATGTCTGCCTCCTTTTTTCAGTCTAAAGTCATGTATCAGAAATATAAATTGTCCCTGATTCGCAGTATTTCCTCATGAAATGAGAAGTAATCACTCCTCCACTCTAGGAGACAACTTCCTTCCAGTCTGCTGGGACTTCTATTTAACACTCCATTTGGCCCAGGGCTTGTTTGACTTGGTCACAATTCCGGCCGTAAACCACAATATTTATTTATTATTCTTTCCTGGAGATAGTAGTAGTGTCTGGAGTATATTAATCCTTGTTTTCTGCTTGTTTTGGCCAGATGTCACATCAGCCCAGAGACATCTGGAAGTGACGGCAATGGCAGACTGCGTGCCGTTCATCAGCGTGGACGACCTCAGGGAGATCCTGACCGCAGTCCTTCACAGGAAGGCCAGGACTGTGCAGGAGTGCCGGCCACTCAAAGTTACAAACTACCTGCAAGTGAGAAATGCTGGGGATAAAACCCAGGAATGCAGCTGTAAAGCATTTATTGTGTCTGATTAAATATTTATTTTGTGACCGCGTGCTCACAGGGGGAAGCAGTGCGACTTTCCAGGCAGCTGCCTACAAATCTTTCCAGGGAGGATGTGGAGGACACACTGGTACGCATGAAGCAGCAGCTCGGTGGGAACAGCAGGACCTGCATCCACGGAAGGTCATTTCTCCAACACCTGTGTGACGTGCCTTCGACAGAGGACGAGGCGAAGGCTCAGCTGAGGCCTTTAGGACTGTAAAAGTAAGCCTGTTAAAACTGCAGTATCAAATACTGTCGTAGAAGTTTTTACAGTCTGACACAAAGTATTTGTTCCTGTGAACTTCAGCTTCTACCTGGTCCAGATAACCTTAGATCAGGGGTTCCCAACCCCCGGTCCGGGGACCAGTGCTGTGGAATCGATGTTCATTTTGTACCGGGCTGCATTGGGACACAGTTAAAAAATATACAGCACAATATGACAATAAGAAGCCACTGGGGGCAGCAGTCGTGAGAAACAACAACAATTGTTGAATTCACAAACATTGTTTCTCACTGTTTACTCAGAATTATTTTTTTTTTACCACGCCTACAGTATTGCAGTACATCACAATAAATCGTCTTGTGATATGTATCGTATCGTCAAGATTACGCAGCTCCACCATATAGATTGAAGCGTCTTTGATGACGTGGACATCTGTAATAAAAGCTAACAACACCCGGCCATCAGAAACTGCAGTGTCATGTGATTCCCTGACTTTCTGTCCGGGGTCCAGAGGGTCTAACTGCCCCTCAGCCTCATTGTGGCATCTCGGAAATGGGAATTGGCCCGAAGCCCGAGTTTGTGCTCCGTGCCAAGTGCTACCCATAATTCTTTTTTTTCCAATTAGTGCCAGCTGCTCGGCCTTTAGTATTGACAGATACTTGTATGTTATACCTGGCTGCATTAAATCCTTCAGAGATTTGCACTGTAATTTCAACCACAAACTTTAGCCAGTCCTTGACGCTGCGCTAACTGGTGCTTGTCCGCTTCCGACATGACAAGGCCACCAGTGCAGCCAGTGCGGTGGTGCTGGTTGCTGCCCTGAAACCTAGTACAGCTACTAAACTGCACAGATTAGCAGACATTAAAATATTAGCGTATGTGTATTTGGATCATTTACTGCAGTGAATGTGGTTTCGGATCCAAAGCGCTGGCATATAATGGAGGCGGTTGAGGACCCCATACCTACCGTATAGTATACCCCCACCCCTTCACTCATCACCTTTCATATGGTCACCGAGCTGTGCCGTGCAATCGGATCACCGCTCTTATCATAATATTATAGTTAGGATCGTGAAAGGTCAGACCGCAGCACATGTCTTGTTTTACGTGGCCTCTGCTGAGAGGACCCACAGATAGTTGAAACATTGCTGCAGGGCCAGCATTCTGCAGCGAAGGCCAAGGGAGGACCCCCGCCCCAAGTCCCTACAGTCTGTCCA